ACATCCAAGAATGGTAATATAACAACATGGAACAATCAAAAATTATAGATACGTTGGAGACGTATCAGGTAGCAAGTGATAGAAGTGAGCACAAACGGTATTGCAATGCTTAGAAACAAGGCCTAGGGTTCATATTTTCACTAGTGCAATCTCTCAATGTTACTAAAATAGTTGAATCATATGGAAATCCCTCAAGAGTCACTCCAAAGTTTCTATTTCTATCGGAGAAAGTAGGATGAAAACATGTACCAACCTTTATGCCTAGATTACCCCAATGTCACCACGATATTCGCAAGTTGATTACCAAAACATACATAAAGTGATATCAATCGATTACCCCATTGTCACCATGGATATCCTCAAGCAAGGCATACATCAAATGATCTCAAATCCAAAGTATTCAATCTGATAACAAAGAAACCTCGAAGAGCAAGATTCAATTCACTACAAAAGAGATAGAGGGTAAGAACACCATATGATCCAACTATATTAGCAAAGCTCATGGTACATAAAGATCGCGTCCTATCAAGATCACGAGAGAGGGAGAGGGACGGAGAGAGAGAGAGAGAGAGAGAGAGAGAGAGAGAGAGAGAAAGAGATCAAACACATAGGTACTGGTACACACCCTCATCCCCGGGGTGAACTACTCCCTCCTCATGATGGAGGCAATGGGGATGATAAAGATGGCCTCCGGTGATGCCTTCCCCCCCTCCAGTTGGGTGCTAAAATGGGCTTCGGATGAGATCGCCTCGGAACAGAGGCTTGCGGCGGCAGAAAAACTCATGTAGGTCAACTTTCGGAGGTTTCTGGATTTATAGTATTTGTTTAGCGTTGGAATCACGCTAGTCGGGTTCCCGAGGAACCCACAAGCTCAAAGGGTGCGCCTGGTGAGCTTGTAGCACCCCTAGGTCCCTTTGCTTTCATAAAAAATGACCATAAAAATTTTATCGCGTTTGGACTTTGTTAGGTATGGTTTTTTTGTGAAACGAAGAATTAGACAAACAACATGAACTGACACTTGGCACTAGATTAATATGTTAGTTCATAAAAGTAATATAAAAGTGCACAAAATCATGTAGAACTCATATAAATATGGCATGAATACTTCATAAATTATAGATACATTGGAAACATATCACTTAGCACTTCGCTTAATGCTCAATTAATAAGCCTCATTCTTCGCACTTTGGATGGCAAATAGAATAATGATGAGGACTTTATAAGAAGATTAAAATGATAAAGTCCCTCATCAATGTAGTTGATTGTTTGGCAATGGAGAGGCCTTACAATTGATATTAGTGCGAGGAGTAGGAATTGCCATGCAATGGATGCACTAGATCTAAGGGTATGAAAGCTCGCATAACGCAACTAAGTGGGGGTGCATCCAACTTGCTCACTCATATCCTCGAGCATTCAAGGAAGCTCATCATTGGAAAATGCAAGTCAAGTTCTCATAATGTAAAAATCCCAGTAGCATAAGAAAATTAAGAATATAAAAACTCTCTACATGAAGTACATGGTGCTACTCTGAAGCACAAGTGTGTATAAAGGATACTAGTGTGCCCCCTCTCTCTTTTCCCTCATTTTTTGGTGGGATCTTTTGGCCTTTCTTTTTTATCTCATGGGTAGAGGCATACTCTAATGGACATCAAACTTTTATTTACTTCCTCAAAAATGAAAATAATGACTACAAATGAATGCCTTCGGTAGTGTATCAGGATATGTAATGATCTAGCGTAACATGTAAAATAATGATGAATAGTGGCCTTGCCACAATTATAATGTTAGCTCTATATGATCATGCAAAGCAAAATGACAAGAAAAACATAAGTCATGTAATGAGGAGTAACAACTAAAGCAACTAAACCATGGTTCTTCTTTTTAATGTGCACATGAATTCAATGTGTCTCTGTGTCATTTGGACCAATAGGTTCACTAGTATCCGTTAAAAGCGCAGCTAAAACCTACAAAAATAGCGTATGTTCAACAATCTAATCAGAGATTCTGGAAGTACTGAACCGTAGGAAGATGACAGGGGTCTAGTGGAGCACCAGCATCCCCACACAAAGCACCAACCGGGCCAGGCCGTTCAGGGACCCCACACACAGTCACACATGTAGGGTCAGAAACTGAGGATACATGTCAAGATCATATACCATCGTTTGGACCAAGAAGAATTTCTGTTGCTTTCTTGTTGCTCGTTTCCGCCAACTTGCAAAACACTAGAGTTGATCAAAATCCATATCCTGGTATCGAACTTTCTAGTCTTTTCTGTGTTTGAGAGGGCGTGACCTTTTTAGTTGGAAACGGAGGCTCCAATCCCGGTCCTGGCCACGTTACAAGCCACGTCCCGGTTTAGCTATTCTATAATCTACTATATCCATTCGGAAATATTTTTTGAAGAAATGGATAAAAATGAATGTATCTAGATCTAAAATATGTTTAGATACATCCATTTCTCCGACTAGTATTTCCTGATGGAGGGAGTCCTTTTAACTTTTTCTTAGTGCAAATTCTGTAATATTCTTTTTTTAAACAAAATCCAGTAATGTACTGTATTGGGCCACGAAAGAAGAGGCCCATTTGATGAGCTGACGACCGACCGACGACGAGGAACCCTCCTATTGGGCTATAAGCCTGCGAGCAAAGCCGGCCCAATTTATTCTTTCTTCAAAGCCCTCCCTGAAAGAAAAGAAAAAGTGTCATACAAAAATCTACATCTCCCGAGGGTTCCCAAATCCCGGTCAACATTCACATGGAGCAATCAGCTTTCACTAGTGGCGCTCACCCATGGCAAACAAATGAATCTCTTTACCGCAATAATAATAATAATAATACGAATTTCTTCTTGTCGTCTGAAAGCTCAAACGGGCGAAAGCAGTAGTGTGTACACTAGAGGCGATACACGCGGCCGATTCTTGGCAAGCGGACAGATAAACCTAGTGAAAAATGTGAGTTTTGCATCCAGCGTGACTGCTGCATCATCTGAAATCTATATCTATCTAATCTATACCTCCGAGCTTTTCGAACACGTGTGAAATCGTGTCGAAGCCATCCTCGAACTGAAACCCTTCAGGTCAGATTCCCTCACGCGCATGCCAAGTGTTCGGTTCACCTCTGCGCGCACGCAGCATGAAAACCTCGTCATTTCCCACACACGACAACCAAAAGAGAAGTTCGGCACATAGTAATTCACCATGCACCCTCTCGCAGTTCGCCTGCTCCTGAATGCGACTGTACCAGCAACTCGGCGATGGCTTCCGTCTCAACGACGGCAGAGCAGAAGCAGGTACATATCCAAATCCAACCACTCGGAGTAACAGTGTCGTACAAGCTTAATAATTTTTTTTTGCGCAAGCTTAATAATAATAATCGAACTATGTTGCCTTGCTAGTCACTCGCAGCAGCCAGCGTAACCTGACCCGACGTCCCCATCATCTGCTTACCGGATAAATATCCTAGTACCAGTGGGCGGGGCAGCGGCATGGCATCCATATCACCACCCGCCTCTGACCAGAACTGTGGGTGGCTGGTGTACTCTTCCTTCCACGCGTTTCCCCTGAAACACTCCAAGAATTCGCTTCGCGAATTGGCACTCTGCTTTCCGCCCAAGAAATGGCAGGGTACGCCAGAAAAGTCAAGAGCTTCCCGCGGGATCTTCACGCCAGCGAGCGGAAGCGGGTGACCGAACAGTTCCCCGCACCTTTCCGGCGTTCGTGGCCTCGCACATCACACCTTACGTCCCGCGCAGGCTTCCGCCGCCGCCGCCGTGTGGGTTCGCACGATCGACGTGGTCCGCCCGCCGGCCGCGCAGCTAAGATGTTGGCCACACACTTGGCTCGACCGCTCGCCCAACTTCCAATCCAGCTGGCGCCGTCATCTAGCGTGCGGGAATGGCCACTGCGCTTTTCGTTCGTCAATCAAGATATGCATGTCCACGCGCGCACGGAATATACTACTCCCTCCATTTCAAAATATAGTGCGCCCACGCTTCCCGAGGTCCAACTTTGACCATAAATTTAACCAACAAGACCAACTGCGGCGGGAGAAAAAAATATATAATTGAAAACTTCTTTTGAATACGAATTCACTGATATAATTTTTGCTTCCGCCGCAATCGGTCTTGGTAGTTAAATTTGCGGTCAAAGTTGAAGCACGAGGATAGAGGAAGCACTACATTGTGGAATGGAGGGAGTACTACTAGTCAAGATATACACTACGTACGTGTGCATCGGAACAGATAGAAAGGGTCACAAGTGGATCGACGAGAACAAGTAACGAATAATCGACGGAGTCACGGAGAGCGCGCCATCTTCTTCTTCGAAAAATATGGAGAACCGCAGCGTGGCGTCACACGAAACCCTCCCTAATTCACTCGTGAAAAACACCCGTCGAGGCGTCGTCCATCATCTGTTCCACAAAACCACGGCCGCGGACGATACGAATACGATATGATCCAGTCACCTACGCCGCCACGCAAGTCGCAACGCAGCAAGCCTTGGGCGATCGCTTTTACGTGCGCACGTACGTGTAGCCGCGCGCGTCAGTACGTGGTCGATCCACGCGATGGCGATGCGAGGTCGACGAGCGATACCGATTAGTAGCTAACCATCGCCATCGCTCTCTCGTGATCGATCAGCTTCTGGAACGACGAGGCGAGAAAGCAAGCAAACTTTTTATTGCCTAACCATGTGCCCCGGCGCGCCACGCCCATGCTTGAACGAGCTAGCGAGCGCGACCGCGTGCGTGCACGTTTCTTCGTGGCCAAGCCTAGCTTGAGTTTGAGTGGCTCCACTGCCATTGGCTAGTTCGCACGCACGCACGCACGTCCGACTTTGACGTGAACAACTCTCCTTCTCTACAAGATCAGCTACCCGCAACTCCTACCGGTCGTACGTATATATGCGCCCCTGCGTGCGCGTGACTGGAATTTCAGTTCGCTGCCAGGAAGAAAAGGGGATAGCACTTGCAGCTGGTTACATAGATCGATCTCGATCGTGATGACACTTACGAGGGAGGAGGCGCACGAGAGCAAGGAGATGGAGAGCCTGCGGGTGCACGCCGACGCGCTGCTCTCGCTGGCATCGCCCGCCGCGTCGTCCACGGCGACGGCGGGCAGCAAGCCGGTGACGGCGGCGACGACGACCGTGGCGGGCAGGAGGGCGCTGGCGGCGGAGGGCGTGTTCGAGTGCAAGACGTGCAGCAAGCGGTTCACGTCGTTCCAGGCGCTGGGCGGGCACCGCACCAGCCACACGCGGCTGCAGGCGCGGATGCTACTGCACGATCAGACCGCGGACCAAGGCGCCGCCGAGAGGGACAGGGCGCGGGTGCACGAGTGCGCCGTCTGCGGGCTCGAGTTCTCCATGGGCCAGGCGCTCGGCGGCCACATGCGCCGGCACAGGGGCGAGGCGCCCCCGGGGCCGTCGACGTCGTCGGCTGCCGTGCACGGCGACGCCAGCTCCGGCGGGACGCAGCAGCAGGAGGTCATGCCGGACCTGAACTACCCGCCGATGGACGACTGCGGCGGCGATGGGCAAGAAACGTCGGCCGATCGCAGCTCCGGGCATCAGCTGCTTGATCTGCTTGTGTAGCCTTCACAGAGAACATAACAACATATACTTGTATAGATAGGATGTGCATATACAATACATACATGATGATTCCGTGTTATACTACATGGATGGCTTGATTTATTTGTTTAATTATTAAGACATGGATGGAGTTTAATTAGATTACTAATAACTAGCTACATGATGATTGAGTAATTTTCAGAGAGGATGGTTGACAAAATTTGGAACGTAATCCTTGACATGTCGTTAGCCTGTAGATCAGCAGGCTCTCTTCCGAATTCTGATTGTTGTTTTTATTCTCTTTTAGATTCCATGTTCTTTATTAGTCTTACTATTTGTTTCCAAAGACACAAACGGTGTCTAACTGAATTAGTACTAACTACGTGATGATTGAGTAAAATTGGAGAACGATCATGACATACTATTGCACAGTATTCTTTAAACTACTAGCACAATGCCTATGCGTTGCAACGGAAGAAACAACGGGAGGGACAGTTGTCTCGCTGTAAACCGACACCCGCACAACCCCCTCCTATCAGCACCCGCAGTCAACGACTTAATCCCCTCTCTCATCACAAAGTCTATTGAAGCACAACATAGTAGTTAAGCCGCGTCACCACATTGTCGCACCTCGTCCAAATCCATCAACCATGTCGCCGCAGATTCACACTGCTCTGGCCTGGCCTCCAGAGCAGCCAACCGGTTCTAGTCAGGAAATTTTGTTGTTTTGAGGCTAAATTGTTTGATTTATTTCGTAGCTTGCACATCATCATATAGTATTTAATGAAATTTTACATATTTGTGGAGAACAACTATACCGGAGGGAAAAATCAATTGTCTTGGAATTTTTAAATATCCTTTTCAAATAAAATAAAGTTCTAGGTTCCCTAGATCCATGGAGCCAAATTGCCTCACTTAGTGATTGATCTGGTATTACACATTTGAGGGTGTTTATCAGACCAAATATTTTCCCTTTATTCATGTAAAATAACTCTTATCAGACTACGCATGTACATCACATATCTTTATCTATGGTTAACGAAAAACATACTAAATATGACACCATCAAATCTGCCAGCCTGATAAATTTTCATGAGAGAAACTATTAAGTCTCTTCTCACATGTATTTCATTGAGTTCCTCGCTGGAAACAAAATACTACAATACTCGCAATTGGGTCAACTCTTAGAGAACAAAGCACGAGCTCTTTCATAAGAGTAGAGCGCAAACAAAGCATTTATTATTTCAAACAATGAAAACTAGTCACCTCCATTAATAAAAAAGCAGATGATCTCACAAGAAGATTTTATACTAAATAACAGATAGAGAAAAGGAAGTAAAGTCTGATTTCGAAGTCGAAGTAGCGCTTAACAAGACCAACTTGAGACTAGGCAAGATATGTTTAATTATGCATGACTCCATAGTCATTATACATCACAATATCGATGAATAGAATAAACGATAGCTGAAAAAACAGAGGCCAAATGCTTGCTCTGGAAGCAAAAGATATGCTTCAGGAGAAACACAAATCACAAGAAATATGCTCCATGCTAGTAGTAGGTGGAGCTAATTTTGCTGAGGATGAGCAACATGTAGCCGGGGGCAGTGGTGGCAGGGGTTGTTGCAACAGGAAATGGAGGAGGCATGAGGGGCTTTATTGGGGCACGGACGCCGCCGGAGGCAAAGTTGTGATGCGTAGGTTGTCGGAGGAGTCGTGGGAGGGGGCGGAGGGGATGTCGAGGATGAGGGTGTGTGGTGTTGATGATGGGTGGTTGGACTACTACAACAGAGGAGAAGCACGAGACGTGTCAGCCAATTGATGACGTCAGTGTCGTACTTGTCGTGGTCGGGCAGAGGAAGGAAGGGAGTGGGGGAGACAACGAGGAGGGGAGAGTCGTGGTAGTGGTGGGCGACAGGGTGGAGAGGAGCGTGGGCCAGACAACGCCGACAATAGCCGCCGCGGTAGATCGGTTCTGACACTATCGACTGCTGCCTGTTTGTATGGAGTTTTTTTCCTGAGATGTGGCTAGTCGGGAGAGACAGGGGGTATCTAAAAATATGTACCTCGGTGCGGGCGCCTTTCTACAAAATTGCCACAAATTGCCTCCAGTCCGTTAGATACAGATCCAATGGTTGTAAATCAAAAATGGCAGATACATCATCACCACTAACTCAGATTTTTATAGGAGTAGAGAGATGTGGCTAGTCGGGAGAGACATGGGGTTATCTTAAAATATCTACATAAGTGTGGGCGCCTTTTTGCAAAATTGCCACAAATTGCCTCATGTCCGTTAGATGCAGATCCGATGGTTGTAAATCAAGAATGGCAGGCACACCATCACCACCAACTCAGATTTCTCTACTCCTATAAAAAACTCAGTTGGTGATGATGGTGTGTCTGCCATCCGTCATTTCTAACCATCAGATCTGCATCTAATGATTGTGAGTTAAGCTGTGGCATTTTTGCAACAAGGCCCCACTTCTCTGCTCCAATTTGCAGAAAACCCCTTACTATCTTGAAACCAACCACATCCTTCCCTCACCTCATTCCTTACTAGAGTGTTTTTCTTTCAAGTTTGTGAACATGTATTATTCTACTTTGGATCCGTTGCAACGCACGGGCACATTGCTAGTTTTATAGAAAAATAGAGATATACTTGTATTTGTACATATATGCTTCGATGTTGTTAATTTGTTCGGTCAAAATTCTCATTTTCATGTCTGTGGGCTATCTAGGAGGTGCTAGTATTTTCCATCTGAAAAACAAGCTCGGCGTATTGACCTTCTCCTCCCTCAAACTCGGATGTGCCTCTCGTGTGAGTATGTCGCTCCTTTGGTTGATGTGCATGTTTAAGATTGTAATGAAAAATCACGTGGGGCGATCGCCCTCTTGCATTTAGCTCAAAAAGGATTATGGCTTGTACTTCCTTCGTTCCTTTTTAGTCAGCATATAAGTTTTGTTGAAGCCAAGTGTTTCTACTTTGATCAAACTTATAAAAAAAGTATTAACATTCACAATGTCAAATCAATATTTTTAAATTCATTATGAAATATAGTTTCATAAAATACATATTTGGTATTGTAGATATTGATATTTTAATATATATTTGGTCAAATTTTACAAACTTTGACTTGACACAAATCTAATACGTGAAGTAGAAAGGACCGGAGGGAGTAAAATTTTACAAAAATGCTAAAAATCTGATATTTTCATGGCAATTTATGTTGACATGAGGATGGCAAATTTTGTTTGCAAACACACGATTTTCTGGCAAAAAATAAATTGAGAGATATTTGCCATGCTCGCCAATCAAAGTTGTCATCTTCAACGAACATAATTTCTCATGAAAAATGTTTGATTTGCCATGCTAAAAATCTTCACATGTTATTCTTTTCCAAATTTTACTTTATGTTTCGAGAGTGAGAGAGGCCGCTACTTTTTCTACAGCAGGCATGCACACCCTATCACTATAAGCACTTTCAAGAGCTAGACCGATAGATCTTAAGATTAACAAAGTTATCACAGACACTTAATAGTTGACAGGCATGTCATACCACTAAAAGAATAGTGTCAGAAAGTCTTAAATAAATCTAGGAAATATGCTAACACCCATGCAAGTCTAGGACTTATACCTGAGTGGGTTGGTTCCATGAAAGTAGTTAGACCATCTAAAGTATGCTTAGTTCACCATTAAGAACATTTATTACTCAAAACACGCCCACGTCATGTACAAATATAGGTCTTACAAATTGAGATCGTCTAACGAAGTCTCGAGCCAAGACATTGGTTCATCTACTGCACTTCATGGATTAACAATGTCGCCACAAACACTTCACAGTTGATGGGCATGCCATACCACTAAAAGAATAATAGTTCGCCTACTACTCCATTAGTCTCTCTAGGGTAATGTTAATTGTAGTGTGTTTGATTTTTTTTAGAACAATTTGTGTTTTCTGTATAATTAATTCAAAATTCTCCGATCTTTGTGTGAGGCCCTGTGGTCGTGTTGTTGACAATGATGGTTGATGCAAAAGACAATATATATATTGCTAGGGGTTTGGGGAGGGGGTGTCAAGACTATAAATTATTCCTCTCTTCCTCCCTACAAGAACATTTTCTTCACAAAATTTCCCTAGGTTGTGGGATGGAGAAGGAAGGGCGTTGTGGCCCTTGCTGACATACACTTAGCTCCAGTGGTGTGTTTAACCAATATGAATGACCTCTAGCAATAATATTTGTGACCCATTAGTTGCAACATGTAATAATTAATGTGTTTGGTTGGCCCTATGTTCTTGTTTTCCCACTGAGTAGAAACATTTCAGTCAAAATAGCTATTGCATCTGTTTTGTTTTGCGTTTGAGTGAATCATGTTTTATAATGAAGGTAGTGAGCCATGGCCATGGGGGCTGATGACAAGGAGTAGTTCAAGAGAGGGCCTGTTTGGCGCCTTCAGTGCCAATTAAATAGCGCCCGCAGCTAACCTCATGGGCCGCAGCCCATTGCTTGCGCACACGAGTTGTTCGTTTGTTTTCCATTCGCTTGTTTTTTTCCTCTGTTTGTTTCTGCTGCTGTGTTGGTCAATGAAAAAAATGTTTTAATTTTTTTTGCGGATTTTAATTTTTTCCAAGAGTTTAAAAATGTTTGTGAATTTGAAAAATATGAATTTACAAAATGTTCATGAATGCCAAAAAATGACGTGAATTTGCCAAAAAAAGGTAAAATAGAAACGAAAAAGCAAAAAAAAACAAGAATGACAAAAGCAGGCTGAAAGATAGAAGTAAAAAATACAAAATAAAACCGGTCTAGAAAACCAAAAAGGCAACCCACCTACTACAGTGCGCCAACCACGGCTACAGCACTATCAGGCGCATAAGGATTTGCCAGTGGTCCAATAGTAGTCTGTGGCTGGGCCGATGGTGAGAATGTGGTGGACCGTTCTGCATGACATAGCTAGGCAGCCAAGATTTCTACTGGAGCTAGCTGTCTGTGCCATATGGGCCGGCCATGGCTGGCCACAGGCACTAACCTTTTTGAAACAGAGGTAAAAGATTTGCCTCATTCATTAATTAAGAAAGAGAGTTTTGAGTACATGAGAACCGGCTTTACAACATAGCCCATCAACAAGAGGTGCAAACGAATTACTCTCGCGGCATGATGATGCTCAGATGTCTAGCCCCTGCGGTGACCCACGTCCTGGCCTCCTCCTGGATGAGTTTTAGAATGTAGTGTGGCGGCGTCGATTTCTTCTGGAAGACTCTAGCGTTTCTCTCATTTCAGATGACCCAACATACAAGCATGGTGAGTGAGGCCATGGCCTTCCTGTTTGTTGTATTTGGTTTGGACATGCTTGTCCACCAACACTTGATGTTGCGTTCCGTCCCCCATCTATTCATCTCCAGCGCCCCAAGTCCAAGCCATGCTTTGACCATTCTCCAAATACGCAGGGTAAACCGGCATTTAAAGAAGAGGTGACCGGATGTCTCGTTGGCCCTCCTGCAAAGGGCGCATAGGCCACAATTCTCCCAACCCCTCTTCTGCAGCCTATCCGCAGTCCATATCCTGTTTTGGATGGCCAACCATGAGAAGAACTTGACCTTGGGAGGCGCCCAAACCTTCCAGATGGTCTTGTTCATGACTGTAGAGGTGGAGCCCAAGAATTGTGCCCTATAAGCAGAGCCTGCCGAGTATTCTCCATTTGCCTCAAATTTCCAAGTGATGTCGTCGTCAACGTCCATTTGTAATTGTATGCCTAGGAGCCGCACCCAGAGATCAACAAACTGGACAATGTGCCCCACCGTGAGGTCGGTAAAAGGGTTAATCTTGTGCACCCAAGCCTTGTCGCGCATGGCCTCCCTCACGCACCATTTTTTTCGCTTGCATGCCGCAAAAATGAGTGGGGCAATATCCTTTGGCCTTTTCCCTCCTAACCATGGCGCTTCCCAGAAAGGTGTCTTCCCTCCATTGCCCAAGGTGATGACCGTGGATGCGTAGAAAAGGTTCATATCCACCTCGGAGCATGGGATGCCCAGGCCAACCCACAACTTAGACGGGTTCTTCCATGCCATCCAGGGCCATCTCAGTCTGAGAGCTCTCGCAAATTTCCCTAAGTGGAGTATGCCAAGCCCACCGAGCTATGTAGGGCGGCAGACTGTCTCCCAATTGACCTTGCATTTTGCTCTTGTAGCTGTGTCGCTAGCTGACCACAAAAATGCCCGCTCAATCTTATTGATGCTTTTCAGCACACCAGGGGGGACTGTGAGCGGGGTGATGTGGTAGACGACTTGTGAGGTGAGGACCGATTTCACCAAGGCCGCCCGCCCAATCGTGGTAATGTTTCGCCCCTGCCAGGGGGGCAACCTCGCCGCAACCTTATCCTCAAGGAGTTGAAAGTCAACCCTTTTGAGCTGTCAGATCGAAAGGGAAAGGCCCAGGTACTTCATCGGAAAGGATGTCCGCATAGCAGGAAGGCTGGCCAGAATGTCATCCAGGTTCATGTGACCACACCGAATAGCAACTACAGATGTACTACTGAGCACAGCGAAAGAGCAAGCCATCATATGTACTGTTCATCACAAATACTGTTTCATGTTACACCCAGATATACCAGCCAGCTGAACAGAACCGGACAGCCGACCGAATCACACTCACCCAAGCTCCAGACAAACCACAAACGAGCCCGGCCACGGCCACCCAAATAACATCATAGGACATATATGTTGCAATCTCGCAGATGATGAACCGACGACGGCCTCCACGGTCAAACCAAACTCGCTCACTCATGCCCCGATCCTCTTGCCGCTGGCGTGCGCGGTGCAGGAGATCACCTGGTAGCCGTCCTTCTTGCTCTTGGGTTTCCGCGGGATGCACCGGTCGTGCAGGTCCACCGCCTCCTCCGCCTTCTGCGCCCTGCCATCCACCATCACATATTCAGAATAAATAGTACAGTAAGTCGCAAGCAGTTATCATTTCGCATCGCCGTCTCTCGCACCCTCCATCATCACGACTCTCGTACAGCACAATCCGCGGCGGAGTACTTGGCACAAAGATCGGCTTCTTTGTACAAGAGCGCCGCATGTATGGCTCAAGGGCTCCCTCCCCTGGGCCACACCCCGGTTGAGCCGGAGGAGTTCAATGCCTGACAGAGGCGCTTACTTGAACAGTACTCATTACAAGCTCACGTTGTAGATTGTACCAACTTACTACTCCTGCTTAAAGCAGCAGTAGTAGTCCTAATAATGTATTGATGGCTTCACGTCTTACTCGGTCCCTCGGATTATTACCAGTGCTACTACGTACTTACTACTGCGCAGTGACCGGGTGCTACTACGTACTATGCACTTGTACCGGAGTCACGGGCTCATGTCTCTGAACCAAGTGTAAATCCAAAACTTAATTAAGTTCAGCAATGGCTCGTGTCTCACGCCAAGAACACTTCCAAGATTTGGTGCTGGCTCGCGAGCCAGCACGGGCCCGTGCCAGCCGAGAATTCAAGGCGCGTCCCTGACATTCTGGATCGACCGATCCGTTCTGTTTGTGACTTGTGAGCGATAGCTCCGTGAGACCTATTCCTATTTATGAATGTAACCACCGATCAAGTACCCCGAGTGGAATTTTCGCAGTGCCTTTAACTAACTGCCACTACGGCAGGACGAATCAATGAAACAGTGCCCGACTGACCGCCATTAACGACGGCCAAAAAGCTTTGGAATGACAAGCTGCTGGTAGTCACTAACTAGAACCGAATAGTGGTGGTGCCGGTTTAATTTGTTGGGTGCGTGCTTATCGGCATTGATGGTCGGCAAGGAGTGTGGTGTTATACCTGTCGGCGTTGTAGGAAGACGACCGCCGGAGGACGGCCAGGTCCTGGCACGGGTCGGCGGCCGAGCACTGCGTCTCCACCAGGCTCCCGCTGAAGTACTCCTTGTCCTCGACCACCTTCTGCCGGTAGACGGCCGTCTCGGCTGCCGCGACGGCCGCGTGCGCCGGCGGGCGCGGCGGGCGTGGGCGGTAGTGCACCCCGCGCGGCATCACCGGTGTGGCCAGCCCGCCCTTCACCGACACGGACCCGCACGAGATGAGCTGCATCAGCACGGACGACGCCCGGGCCCTGCTCCCGCCGCCGGGGACGGTCGCCAGGACGCGGCCGTCCGCCTTGATCAGCGCCTCGAGCGTCTCGGGGCTCGTGGACGCCGTCGGCGGCGACGTCTCCTCGCGGCTCAGCTCCTCCTGGGCGCGCCTCTGGTGACCGCGGCTCCGCCCACGGTGCCCGTCCTCGGTCTGCGTCGCCGCGTCCGCTGCCGCCGCGGCGCGGTCCTCGGCCTTGTACACCCTGTACTCGCCGAGCTCACCTGTGCCGCACGCGCCGGCGACGCCCTTCCTCTGGGCGTGCTCCCAGCCTGACGAGGAGGACGTGGTCGTGTCCTGGGAGCCGGAGGAGCAGGACGACGCCGCGGCCGCGTCGAGCAGCGGGAGGTGGATCGCCGGCGGGTGCAGCCGCTCGGTGCCCTTGAGCACGTACTCCCGCCCGCCCACCGGGTGCACGTAGTCGTCATCCGCCAGGTCGTGCCACACGAACCCGTTCCGGTAGCTCCTGCGCAGTGCAACAACACCGCAAATCAGCAAACAATGGCAGAATGCATGACAGAGCGCCAGAGCCTCCATGCCCTTCTTGCGCATCGCCGATGAACTAATCAAAATTTAAGCCGAACTGCAAACCTCTTGGAGGCCCATGAGTACATGCGCGCCATCCCCTTGCCTCGCAGTGCGTCGAGCCGATCGATCACATCTACAGTACATACATACATACAGCAAGCAACAATAGCACATGACGCTCAGTGTAGTGCAGAACGAAACAAGAAAGACGCACGCGCCATGAGCAGACGGTACGCGGCCGGCGTACCTCGGAGGTAGAGGCCGTCGGGGGACGAGAGGGCGACCTCCATGAAGTGCGGGTGCTCGAGCTGCCCGTTCCTGGACAGGTAGTACACGACGGCGACCCTGGCCGGTCCCGGCCTTGGGCGCGGCGGCCTGGGCACCGCCGCCATGTCGGGGCTCCGCTGCCCCTGCTGCTCGCGCCAATGCGTCCTCGGCTGCTGCTCCCCTCGCGCCCTGCCACCCCCACCGCCAGCGCCACCCCCCGCCACCACCACCGCCATCTATATATCTCCAAGCTCGAGGCTCTATCGCCGTGCTTGGATAATGGATATGCTGCAATCTCGTATCCGGGGACGCTATAACAAGCAGCAGGCGGGGCACGTACGTACGTGGTCAGCAGAGCACAGCAGCGGCGGCAGCTAGCGCTTAAAGCTCCCGAGCGCGACACAAGGGAAGGTGCAAAAGGAGGCCGCAGCGACGCAGTGATCAGGCATTCAAACCCCCCGCAGGACCATCGAGCAGCTGTAAGCTTTGGCCTCTGGCTAGCGGCGCAGAAGCTGCAGAGCGGTTTGGTGCAGCAGCAGCAGCAGTGAGAGTGAGGTTAAGGTGACGGTGACCGGGTTGGATTGAGCAAGGAGGGGACGAAAGCATGGGTCTGGTTGTTTGTTTCTCCTCAGGGTCAACAATGACCAGAGGAGGGGAGGGGTCTTGTTTCCACTTTGTATGGAGGATTGTCCTGTTGGCGGTACCGGGGGTTAATTAGTGGCACTGTTGACTAATGCAGTGGGGATTTGCGGTTCGGAGGTGACTTTGAGGGCGGGTGTTAATGTGGGGAAGGGGACTGGTTTCTGGAGCGTGGCGAAATGGCAGCTGCTTTGGCGCTGCAAACCGGTTGTTTTAAGCGCAAGGGTTTGACTATCGAGGCCCGGCACCGCACGTATGGGCACGGCGACACCGGCCATGCTCGGCGGGCCCCAAGTGTCAGTCAGTCGGTGGAAGCACGCTGTGCAAAGCGTAGTGTAAGGCTTGATTATAGATTAGCGTCACTTCATGTCTGATGGTGCCCCCCGACAACGGATTAATAAGCTGGGCATGTGCGCGTGAAGCCGGCCTTGGAGCACGGGTGTACTATGATGGTATGACTGTACACTACAGTTGCCGTTGATGATGCTACTGGTAAAATCTGATTTGTTTGTTGAACGCAAAACAATAAAACTTTCTGATTTGTTTTTTTGGCAAATTGCTAGTAAAAATATTTGGAAGCATTTGCGTGCGTGGGAAGGCTGCGATCCCTGTCCTGTCCTCCCTCCCGAGTCTCGCTGCCTGCGTTCCACGCGGGAGAAGCGGACGAGTATACTAATCCGAGCCATGTGAGAGGGGCCCTGGCCATCGGGCATCCTTAAACAATGAGATCTCTTAGACTAGCCACTGTGGGAGTAACTTCGGTAATAATATCGAGTCCAACTCAGCAAATTTGTTTATGTGGCAACGAGTTAATGATGAGAGATATAGTACTAGTAACTTAGCTAATTACTGTAACATCACATGTCCCAATGCAACATGAGTCTATAACCTAATAAATGAAGTTTTGCATGTTATCACACTCATGTTATTACCCACTATTGAGGTAGTAATATAGTCTAGGGATATGTGTATGTTACTAGTGTATGTTACTCTCCATTGTGGCTAGTCTTAAACAATCCCATGGCCCGATATGAGTGGGTGCATCATTCTAAAGCCGGTTGTAATGGGGAGTATCATATACTAGTATCATGCATATGATACTAGTGTATGATACTACCTCCCTAATGCATAGTACTCCCTCCATTCCCTTATACAAGGCCACTATGAAAAATAAAATTTGCATCTATATAAGGCCACTAACAGTAATCGAGGCAAAAATTAATGATGTTTCTCGTACTATCAACTTGTTTAATACTTGTATGCATGTAGCCATAATGACATTGTGCTACTTCCTTCCCATGCCTTCTTTGCATGCATGCGGGGGTATTAATGAACCCGGTTAACGAAAAGAATAATTGACTTATAAAGCAGTCATTAAATTTTACATTGGTACATGTAATTTGAGTTTGTAGCCTTGTATAAGGGAATGAAGAGAGTATCATATATTAGTATCATGTAGTACTTTATTTATTGACATGCATAACACAAAGTAGCATATCATTTAATATGATACGGTATCATGATATGATACTACACCTTTTTTTTATTTAATGCTATGACACCTCATCAAAATTGTTTAGTTGGTATGCATGATACTAGTTATGATACTACCATTACGATCAGCCTAACCAGGGCCATTTAGCACTAGGCCCCACTTGCCACGAGTCAGCGGGGCCAGAGGCAACGGTGGTCAGGCAACGTAGTCAGTGGCAGTGGCTGATCTTGGCCATAGTTTAGGAGGACGTTTACGAGGGGGGCAACCGGGCAGGGCCAGCGACTACGAGGTGGCGCGGCGCGGACAGCGAGACTGCACGGCGGGCGAGCGAAGCCGGTGCTTTACCGGAGCCGAGAGAGACGGAGGGAGGGGGCGAGGCTGCGTTTGACTCACGGAGACGGACGGGACGGTGCGGTGCGACGCCGGGCGTCGAGATCCGCGCCGGCAGTCCCACTCGCGTCGCGCGCCGATCGATCCAGCCCTCCGTTTGTTTTCTCCTTTTCACGGCCTGTCGTCCTCTCGCTCTTTATCGCGCCTCGGTAATACAGACGCGTAGTAGTAGTACTGATTACTAGCTGATGTGGTACCTGACACCGATGATCAGACCGACGAATGCCTACTGATTGCTCCGTGACCATGCGCGCCTGCCGCAATCGATCGATTTCTCATTTTAACGCGGTCGGGGCATCGGAATTCGTACGCATTTTCGTGTGCCTTTCTCTTCTTCGTGGCGGGAGCAGAAACACATGAGCGCGCGCCGCGCGGCATGCGATTTGGAGCCCCTTCGACGACGACGTCGGCCCTCCTCCACCTCTCGCCGCACGGGTGCCCGTGAAGGAAACACCGGCGTTTTTGGCGTCGTTTAAGCAACTCCAACGCGGCGACCCAAACATACGCCGATTTTGTTCATATTTTGCCCGTTTGAATCGGCTCAGCGGACATCAACATCCGACGTCCGCTTTCACGTTTGGGTCGGCACATGCACCCAACGTTGACCCGACCCATTTTAACGGCGCAATTTTTTTTAGAATAGAAACATTTTGAAAATAAAAACAAACATTAGATGGTGCCCTGCCTTAAAGCTACCAAAGCCGGCGGCGATGCTATGTGGTTATGGAACTGAAACCATGGCGTTTTTTCAGATGCCTGATAATGTTTGTAGGGAGGATCTCTCACAGCAGGACTCACGGATAACTTTGGTTTCAATTTCTGGTGGTTCACTTTCTGCCAATACTGTGGAGGTGGAGGTGGCTATGATTGCTCAGGTTTAGCATGAGTGGAATTGGGAGGCGGTGCCACATGGTGTGGATGCATTTCTGATGTCGTTTCCTAGTGAGGAGGTTTTGCAGAGGGTGACCGGTTTTGCAGTTTTCCTCAAGTCTCACAATGTCACCATCGAGTTCAAGCCTTGGAAGTCAGACGAGATACCACATCGTTTCGAGCTTATTCCTATTTGGGTACATGTGCACGGTGTGCCTCACGCTCTTCGTCATTTCTTGGGTCTTTGGGCGGTCGGCTCGGTTATTGGAGCTACTCTGGATGTCGATCTTCTATGTTTGCGTCGCAGAGGAATTGTTCGTATTTAGGTAGCGGTGCTGAACCTAGATGCTTTCAAGAGAAGCACAATTGATTCTCTTTCTTCTGACATAGTCGTTCAGAGGAAGGGTTATGAGTTCCGGTACAGCCAGGAAAAAGAGGACTTTCGTGTTGATGCTGATTTTGTGCCTCGAGTATGGGAGCATGGGGATGATTCAGGAGGCGACAAGGGACATGAGAGGGATGACACAGTGGGGGGCAATGATACCAGTAAAAGGCCCAAACCCACTTCTTCATCATCCAACAACACCTCGGCCCCTCCTACCTCGGGCGGAGTGGTACCCATGCAGATGGCCATTGCCGTCACACCGCCGAACCCTCATCGAGGCTTACATCTACTTCTTCGTCACTCATGGGGTCTTCTTCGTCGGTGCCGGCTACTTCGTGTAACATTGCTTCTCCGACGACGCTGGCGCCCCGGTCCTCGACGCCGCCATCACCGACTCACTGGTCGGCGCCGCCGCACCTCGACGACGGGGGTCACATGCGTCCCATACTGGAGGAGATGGCAACCGCGGTGGTGAATGCGAGCACTCCATCGCCACCACCATCGCCTACATCTGTCTCTCCGACTCGACGGGGAGTGATCTTCTCCCCGTCCATTCGTGCTAGCCAAGAGTCTGCCAGGGCGGAACTCCGCGCGTTATCATCTACACCTCCATCACCAGGGGGCGTCGGCTACCGATCCCGAGGAGGCTGAGGAGCAGCCCCTGCGATCTTCTTCTTCACCACCACAACAGTCTACTCCGCCTCTCGGAGTCGTCACAGGCTCAGCGGCCGATATTACTCCTTCGCTGCTGAGGCACAGCGGGCGTCATTACGTCAGGACTTACGGTTCAGCAGCCACCGACGAGGACTCTATGGTGAAGGCCATGCGTAGGACGGCTGCGCGCAACCTTGACTTCGAAGGTACACCCTCTCGCAATTCTTTTATGTCTTTTGATAAATCCAAAGTATCTTCAAATATCACTAGACTTGGAGTGTCACTAGGACGTAATGAGAAAGAGATAGACTTTTCGGTTAGGGCCCTTAAACAAGTGGAGTACGACCGGCTTACGGTTGCTCCTAGGTTGTCGAGCTTTGTTGACCCTCTCGTGTCAGATGAGGAGGATGAGGATGCTGATGCCAATCATCAAGGCAAGCTTCTCTCTCATTTGGTTAAAGACACGACTGAAGTAGACCTTGACGATACTGTACGCGACACTACGCTCTATGAGCTTGTCGCGTCGGTGTGTAAGAATAAGTCTAACTCAGGAAAGAAAAGAGGGCGCTCTTCTAAGAAGGCAAAGGTCTCTAAACAAAAAATTGGTTTAGCATGAGAGGCATGTTTTGGAATAGCAGAGGTCTAGGTGACTTGGCTAAACACAAACACATTGCCGATTGTGTAAAGGATCATGCGTTGGACTTCGTGGCTATCACTGAGGCGGGCAAACGTGACTTTCCAACATGTGATCTGGACCACTTCTCATGTGGTTTGGACTACGAATGGCACGTCTTACCGCCGAC